GCCAAGGACAGGGTGCAAGTGCCACTGCCGGTAAGGGACCCCTTGGGTGTTATCATCCTCCAGGTATCTTCTCTATACCACTTGGTCACAATGCACATGGTTACAGTGGGCATGCTGGTGCTGGTAACTATTCTTTTCCAGACTTGATTGAGGGAGAGTCTACCATGGATGGCCAAGGACAGGGTGCAAGTGCCACTGCCAGTGAGGGGCCCCTTGGATGTCATCATCCTCCAGGTGTTTTCTCTTCAAAGCCTTCTAGTCAGAAAGCGTCTGGCCAAAGTGACCATGTTATGCCTGCCAACTTTTCTCACTCTGAACTGCTGCAACTTGCCTCAGCACTTGGTCTGAACTTTGAGTCCTCTGCATTACAACAGCCTGATAATCAAGTGGAGCTTTTGAAAAAACTTCTAGCTTTGCAGACAGGTGTTAGTGATGCTCAAGGGTCAAGCACTTACAATGCCTCTGCGGCTGACTCACCTTTGAGGTCAAATTGCTATAGCAAAGCTGGTTATTCTGTGGTGATTACTGATGGGCATCTTTGTGAAAGCACCAGTGAAAAGGGTGTGGTTGTGATGGAGAGTGGAACTCAGTTTTGTATTCTAATAGCAAACAACAATAACTATGGTGAGTAAAACCTTTTGAAAGATATGCATACTTATCAGTGATCGTGATAAGAATATTTTAATGTGAACAGCATCATTCTGCACTTGCAGGAGGCAAGAATACCTTAAAATATTTAAGTGGACAGGGTTCACTCAGTCTTTGTCTGCCTGCTACTTGTAGTTAGTATAGGTAATTGTATGAATGTGAGTACAATTAGGGATTTACACTTCAAGACTGAGATATGAAAATTCCCTGCAAAATTTCATGAGTTTTTAGGCGAGAGCAATTTGATAGAAATTTCAAGTATCTCGGAATGTTAATCCTTAATTGTTCAAGGGCCCCTTTACAGGATAATGACTCATTTATTCCGTGACTGAGAAAATTACAAATTCAAGCTCAGTATTAGAAATTAACAATGAATTGGCTTGCACAGATTCAGTCAATCAAAATGAAGTACATGTAATATTAGTCATAAATTATGATAGATTTAAATATGTAACATGTTCAGTTGTACATGCTCAGTTTCTGCTCTTAATGTTTTAGCTGCTGAGGTGGATATAACATTTGGTGGAATGTGGCTTGGGGTTTGGGTCGTGGAAGCTAAGCAGTCATTATCTACACCTTTGGTTATAGAGGGCTCTTCTTGGGCTCCGGGTAGGCTGAAATTTTTCAGTGCCTTAGATGTGAGAAAACCAAAGCCTTCTGTGGACATCTACGGTGACCAACCTGACTTGAATGGTAGAATTGAACTGGAATTCAAGCCTGAGGTCAAAATATTGAAAGTGCATGCAAAGTACGTAAGGGGAGACAAGCTGTCTGAAATATCAATAATTGAAACAAAGACCACAACTGTTGGCGACTTGAAACAAGAGATACGNACTTGCCTCAGCACTTGGTCAAAACTTTGAGCCTGATAATCAAGTGGAGCTTTTGAAAAAACTTCAAGCTTTGCAGACAAGTGTTAGTGATGCTCAAGGGTCAAGCGCTTACAATGCCGCTGCGGCTGACTCACCTTTGACGTCAAATTGCTATAGCAAAGCTGGTTATTCTGTGGTGATTACTGCTGGGCATCTTTGTGAAAGCACCAGTGAAAAGGGTGTGGTTGTGATGGAGAGTGGAACTCAGTTTTTTATTCTAATAGCAAACAACAATAGTTATGGTGAGTAATACCTTTTGAAAGATGTGCAAACGTATCAGTGATCGTGATAAGAATATTTTAATGTAAACGGCATCATTCTGCACTTGTAGGAGGCAAGAATAACTTAAAATATGGTTCACTCAGTCTTTGTCTACCTGCTACTTGTAGTTCGTATAGGTAATTGTATGAATGTGAGTGCAATTAGGGGTTTACACCTCAAGACTGATATATGAAAATTCCCCCAAAATTTCATGAGTCTTTAGGGAGGGCAATTTGATAGAATTTTCAAATATCACAGAATGTTAATCCTTAATTGTTCAAGGGGCCTTTTACAGGATAATGACTCATTTATTCTGTGACTGAGAAAATTACATATTCACGCTCATTAATTTGCACTGCAGTGCAAATTAGAAATTAACAATAAATTGGCTTGCACAGATTCAGTCAATCGCAATGAAGTACATGTAATGTTAGTCATATGATAGATTTAAATATGTAACATGTTCAGTTGTACATGCTCAGTTTTCTGCTCTTAATGTTGTAGCTGCTGAGGTGGATATAACATTTGGTGGAATGTGGCTTGGGGTTTGGGTCGTAGAAGCAAAGCAGTCATTATCTACACCTTTGGTTATAGAGGGCTCTTCTTGGGCTCCGGGTAGGCTGAAATTTTTCAATGCCTCAGATGTGAGAAAACCACAGCCTTCTGTGGACATCTATGGTGACCAACCTGACTTAAATGGTAGAATTGAACTGGAATTCAAGCCTGAGGTCAAAATATTGAAAGTACACGCAAAGCATGTAAGGGGAAACAAGCTGTCTGAAATATCAATAATTGAAAC